CCTTTCAATCATTTTGATGGATTACTTAATTATTGGTACGGAGCAGAAAACTACATCGTTCACAACCTCTTACTAGCTTGCAAATTATCAAGTCATCAGGGTAGCAGGGTTGTTACTCGCCATTGGGGTTCTGTTATGGTCAATGCGATAATGCGAGGACTTTTACTCGAAATTTCAATATTGAGTAGTGGAGCTCGAACTGTATTAGCGACGAAAGCTACGAGCAGATTTTTGCGTGAAGTTGACTGTCATTCTGTTTTAGGATTCCTCGACAATTGCAACTATTGAATCGGTAGTTCGGCGGCGACGGCAGGTGGTTCCTACAGAAAACGAAGTTCGTAATAGATGTCCTCTGAAAATCGTTGCCGACTACAAGTTTTTCTCGACTGTTGGAAAGAATAACACGGGTCTCACAACCACGTTACATTGTGCGTTCAAGCTTTTCCAATAGGGAGTGTGCTGTTGTTTCTAGAAATCAATTTTTAGGTGAATATGGTTGCTAGAGTGAATGAAATTTACACTGTTGTAAATTGGGATGAAGGGCAAGAAGAAACAGAACTGGAAAGGGGCAGGTTCGACGGAGAATAAGATTTGCTCTTTTTCTTTTTTCTTTTGTCAACGGTTGTTGTTTCGCCAGGTTCGTTAATATGGGCTTCTCAATAAAGGAACTGAAGATCTTAGACAAACCTTCGAATCAACCCGGGCACTATAATTCTCGCGATTTAATCAATAATGGTGTGTGGAATTCCAACCGGCTATTAGAGGTACGTGACTCGGCAAATCTTTGAAAGGGTTTTTTCTTTCTAACCATTCATTTTCATAAGTTTCGTGCGTAACAATTTTACCACAATAATTGATAGCTTGTCTTTCTTAAGAAAAAAGTCTGTATGTGATGAAATTTGTCCTGAATTTGGCTTGTTGCTCGAATGTTCTGTTTTTATGCAGCTACTTTGCTGTTTTTTTTATCATAAACAAGTTTTCTGGCATCTTTGATAGGCTTCTATTGAAATCCCCGATAATTTCCCAAGCCTTATTTCTATTTCTGGCAGTCGTTTCCTGGCATATATCTTCAGACAAGCATAAGGTATAGTGGCAAGTGGGATGTTGCTCACTAATGTACGGTTCAAAGGTTGAATGGTATCAAATTCCACCTAGGCCAAGCAAGCTATCCCTCCTCTGGGTCGGTTAACTGGTACCGGACTCGTCAAGAGGGCTGAAACCATGATCTTTACGAGGACTTGCCGCTTCACCTCGTCGGATCGATGACTTCGTTGAAAACGTAGTATAATTTGGAATTGTGGTAGTGTACTTTACACATCCCAAAAGGGATGTTCTTTTATGTTTTGTCCTTCTTCGAACAAATGCTTCATCAACTTCGTCCCTGATCGATTCGATTTACGAGATTGGAAGGCTGGTGTTCCTACTTTCGTATTTTGTATCCTATTATAATCCTGCCATTGCAGGCGTTCACACGTGAAGAGGGTTCTCCTTCCTTCTGCTTGGTTCACTTGCTTACTGCTCAGTCTTTTGCGGATTCTGCTCATATTGGTTTGGCTTATGTGGCGGATACCGCGAGGAGGTCCAGGAGGAATCTGTTCAGATTCGACTTTTGTACGTCTTCATTCATTATCGCGTTTTCTTCTACTGAAACAGCTTAATCAAGGTTCTTGATCGTCAAATCAGTTTCAACACAGTTTTCACGAGTGCCATTGGAAACACCGGTTTGCATGATTACCCACTGGTGACGAAGGAGGCGGAAATCGTCGTTGCTCATGGTAATTTTCCTTCTTATTCGCAACCTGATACTAGAATCGTGTGTACGAAGAGAAAGCAGAGCCCCAGAGCACTTACAGTTCTTGAAATTTTATAGAATACGCTCATAGCTGGGGTGCGCAGCACGATGGTTTGGAACGTGATGCAGATGGTCGTGAAGAATGCCTGCCAGATTATCTTGAAGGTGGAAATTATATAATGCACATGTATGCCCAAAATGGATACGATCCCAATAACATAGTACGTGCTGGAATCAATTCGTGGTTGACTATGTTCCAAATTTTGTTTCTTCATAGCGCTTTTCACCTTGCTCTCGGAAAAGTATTCGTCGAATGCTGGAACGTCGTTGGCATCGTTGTTTCGAACCAGAGAAGGCATCCTTCTGTGGCAATGGAGTCGTTGAAGAAGGAGAAGAATGTGATGAAGGGAATTTTCTTACCAAGAATGGTAAAAGATTCGATGGTGTTTCGGTGTACTTTTCCGCATTTTTACCTTTTTGAAGTACCTTTTTCCTTAATTTATTCTGTCTTTTTTAGGTAGCTCAGCATGTTGCACAACAGAATGTCGTCTGTCACCATCAGCTCAGTGCTCACCTCACAATCAACCATGCTGTAATAGTACCTGTTCTTTTCATGCAGCGGATCACGTATGCCTTCCTGGAGATCCACTCCAGTGCAAAGCCTCGTCATATTGCACGTAAGCAATTTCCTCTATAGTAGCGAGATTTCATCACCTAAATGCATCGTTCCTTGCATGAAATGCTTACATCCACACTCGACTAACACTAATACCTTCAGACTTCGCGATCGCGCGGCTGGGTTACTCGATTGTATCGCGCGATCACGATCAGGGACACTCCATTGCCGCAACGTCAGAATTCTGACTGGGTTGCGTTCAAACAGTGCCACTTTGAATTGTGGTCGTAGTCGCGCGATCCGAAGGCGCAGTCCATTAGAGCGATCGCGAATTTTGAACGCTGTCTAAGACGTGCCACTCTTTTCACGGGAAAGGGCTTGACAGTTATATGGGAGGATAAAGAAGCTAGAAGATTCCAAGCCAACTGCAGAGGTTCATGCATCCCAACTGCCGAGCTCCGGTGAGGCTTGAAGTTTGCCCATTCTGTGTTGATTGTGCGCTACGACATCATCATGAAGTCATGCAGCGTATCACGCTATTTGAATTGCAGTTGCACAATGTGTTGTGTCAGCAAAGCAACACTCATCGGTGTGTCATAGCAAATCCTATGTTGTTCCCTTATCATTTCATTCATGTTCGCGCCAGCTACTACGACCTAATGAATGCGCCTTCAGTTTTATCCCATCCTACTATATATAATCCGCTAAGTATGTCTGTGTGTGTGTGTCTGTCTGTCTGTCTGTCTGTCTGTCTGTCTGTCTGTCTGTCACGAAATTCATAGCGCCGGTCCCAGTAGCAGTGAGACATTGGCAAGAAGTGATGTAGGGGGTGTGACGGGAACACTATTGGTGGGTGACAGGAAGTGATATCAGTTGATAAGATTCGATAAGAGGCGTTAGAAGGAGAAGGTCACCATATTCATAACGCGGGTGACAGCATCAGCTAGCTCTTGATTCCAAGATATGATAAAGGTATGGGCCAAGAACATTATTGGTGGGTGACAAGAACTGTAAGCTGCTGATAATCACCCTATATATATACCAGTCGCCTCGCCGGCTGACGCCGGCGCGGCTCCTTCTGATACGGCCCGGCTGCGCGGGCGGGCGCGGCTTCGCCGCGCGTACTTTCTTTCACATATTTCTAGACTCAACTGATATCCGCCTTTTGTTCTGTACTCCACTTTTTTCCGGTGAAGTACTCTTGAGCTATTTTACAGATTCTTCGTCTGACTCCGCCCACCTCGGAGCAGGCCCGCCGCCCAAATTTTCGTGCCCAACAATCATCACCGACCCTCTGCTGACCGTAATCCACGTTTTTGTCCGGTCTATGAAGTGCCGTTATGCCGTCATTACGTATCACCGTTTCGCGCAACCGCCAGACTCTTCGCCCAACCGCCAATCGATACGTATCAAAGCTTTTCGCCGGAGCGTTTCTTTCTAGAAAAACGCTGGGCCGCAGACTGTGAACAATGCGTAATGATGGAGCGATTTATCGATTGATTTATCAAATGGGCCGTAGTAACATTGCTTGTTTTACGTGACTATGACATTCATGGTTATTGGGAATGTGAATTACTTTCTCTCAATTATTTTCACTTTAGCGGATATTCTGGGGAATGTCCAAGTGCTCCAGCAATCCCAAATGGTTCGCCGTGCATTGAAGAAGGTGAATGCCAGGATGGTGTTTGCCTCCCCTATTGTGAGCGCCAAAGCATCGCTAAGAAAAGCTGCATATGTGAAGAAGGTACACTCAATTTCAGTGAATTTTTTATGTATAAGCAGGCTGTGAAAAGGGAGCCACCCAGAGACGATGAGGGAATATTTCAATGATTTCGATACGGTCAAAAAAATTAACAAATTTCCTAATATTTCGTTGTACCAGGTTCTATCTTCTCGCTGTATTCTGTCTTCCTTACTTTTGAGAGTTTGATGTTGCATTTTCGGAGTCCTGTTGATCATCTCTGACAACCACTTGTGTTTCAGTCTTAAACTGCCAGCCTTCGTGTTTTTTGTCTCCGTAAGATTTCTATTTTATAATCGTCATTTTAACTCTTCTAGTCCATCTTTCGTGTCGTCGATGTTGCCGAGATGTTAATGGTACAGGTCTATGTGAACCTGAACTAGGGGCGGCGGATCTCGTTGATGGAACTTGGTGCGCCCAAGGTTACTGTCGGAAAGTTAGTTTTTATGGAAACTTACAATGTGTAGATTCGTCTAGTAGATGCTCCTATTTTAGTCAAAATGTGTCAACGAAGCTGCAGACTATGTTACCAGACATTTGAATGTGCTCAGCGACCGAAGTCGTATATGTGAGTCTCTTTTTCCTTTTGGTTTATGTTCAGCAAACTAGTGGAACTACTTTATTTCAGGGCCAATTATCCAGTCAAATATCGTCGCCATCATAGTGCTTTTATCAATTGCAATATATATTCCAATTGGATGCTGCATCAGGAGAGCTGTAAGTACTTTTTATTCATTTGCTCTAATTCTTGAGATGTAACTGATCATTTGTGCCCCTTTTCCATGACTTTTGAATTCTATCTCTCTGTCGCCTTTCCTTCTTTCTTCCACGGCGCATTTTTCAGCATTTTTTCTCGCTCTGTCGTGGTCTCCCGATATCTCAAAATTTTGCCTTTTGTCCATTTTCGGCCCTCACACTTTATGTGTCTCGCTGCTTTTTTATCGTTCTTCTTTTGTATCATCTGTCTCGCTCTCTGGTATTCTTGCTTTTTCTTCTTTTCGAACGTCTCTCAGTATTCTACTATTTTATATGGTGAGCTAGTTTATTGCTTTTATTTATTTCTTGCTCTTCATACGGCTTTTCATTCCCCAAATTTTTCTTCTACTGCTTATGTGCATCTCTGTCATTTTCCTCTTGTTCTTCTTTTAGATTTCCCACTATTTCCTCTTCTTCAGTCCTCACTCATTTCTTCCAGCCTTTTTATGAGCCATCTATTCGCGTTCTGCTTCTTGTTAGCATTAAGGCGTGAATTGTTCAGTTTAGGCGAGCAAAATAATCTCCTTTGTTCGATCTGCCGTTGCTTACAGGATGATCGCGAACTAGTGTCAACGCGGCGAGCAGGACGAGTTCGAACCGTGGATGTGACTCGTCCGTTGGATCGATAAGTTCGGAAGACGTCATTACTCCACTTGGATAATATTTCATGATTGTGATCAGTGGTCGAGTATCCCACTACCTCTAGTTATGTGACTGTTTGAACTTTTTGTGTCGGAGCGCAGAGAGGTAAAGAATATGGGCTGACACAGCATCGAAAGGTGCGAGCGGACAGCTCGAGACTATGGTCCCGAAGAGCGGGGGCTTCCGGGTGGGTGAGCCACTATCATGTATGAAATGTGATTTATGTTGGGAGGTGCTAGTTCACGGTAGTCACAAAACGCTGTGAAGTCAAAAGGGCATAGAAGAATGCAGGGACTTGGTGCTGTTCAAAAACTCAAGTATTCCGTAGACTGCCGCTTCTAGAGCTCAGCCAGTTCATTTCACTTTTTTTCTCAGCATATTCGTTCAGTTTGCTCACCCTCGAGTTAATATGTGTTTCGCTACAACGCATTTCCGTCAGTTCGGGTATATCAGGTGGAATATTTTCAGTGCATGGCACAATGATTCAAGATTCCAGTGTCTTAAACGGTTAGCAATTTGTGTCTCACGAGCTACTTATTTACAAACCTGCCTCACTTTTTATTTTTCTGGTATCTCTATATCGAAAGCACACGGTTCTTTCAGTTGTTAGGTCACTATTGTTGTGTGTTACTTTTATCAAAGTTAAGCCGACGATCAATGTGAGCCTGCTCTTACACCAGTTAATAAAATTTATCAGAGTTGTGTGAATGTTCATCCTCATGTTAAGAGTTTACAGCAAGAAGTGGAAACGACTTCAATTGCGTTTTCACTGCCATCGTGACCATTTAAAAAACCGAAATGAAGCATAAATCTGATAGCAAGGAAAGACACAAAAAGGGAACAGTATCCACCCTAGCCTAGATTTGGTGCAATAGGCTGTTAGCGTACTACGTTACTAACTATTTTTTCCTGCAGGTGCCTTCAGTCATCCCAGGCACGCATCGCTTGGTCTCGATCCGCGGCGAAAGCCGTTACAAACGAGAACATTCGCACCAGGACCCAGTTGGTTAAATTTAGCAAAGCTGCGTCCTGTCTTGCCAACTACAGTCGTCATCCTTGCACTTGATAGGGGCGTGTCGGCGAGAAGGAGCGTGCACACTGTTTGAAGCCTTCTCAGCCTTTTCGTTGAAACGCGTATGCGACAAAAAGTGATAGAAAACGAGTAACACGAAGGATATAATACAGTAATGTCACTCTCTGGTTCAACGATTGGTGCAGTACGGTGCTGACGACCGGGTGCTGACGGCGCAGCCGCACTGACTTGACTGTCAAAGTGCAAGGATGACGACTGTAGCTATTCTCAAATGGACTGCGAGCGATGCGTCGACTCGGGGGGGGTATACAGAGTGAGGAGCCTTATTTCCCAGTGGCGGCGTCGCGCATTACAGACGGATTATTTCCTAGCTATTTGACTAACTGACACAGAGAGCCAGTCGGTCCGAAAGACGCAGACACAGTGTGAGTTGACTTGCCGCTACACTGCTTCGTTGAGTGGATTGGATCCTAGTGCGAACGCTGCGTGCGTCATCACATTACGCTTAACTTACTTTTTACTGACAAGTGACTAACACGCTCCTATGTGGCCGCGTACTTTTTTAGCTGAAAGGTGTTACTGCCGTGAGTCTGACTTCACGGTAGTCGCAGTTTGACGGGAGTTCCTGACGCGGTCTCGTAGTAGGCGAAGTTGATGAGATGCTCGATGGGGGTAGGACGTTATTCTATTAGGTTGGACGGAAAGTCCTGTGACACTTTGACCAAATTTTCGGACCAAATTTGTCTTCACTAAAAGACACCTCCAATCCACAAGGTAACCACAGTTGATGACTATAAATAGCATCCATCTTTTGCGCAGCTTCTCATTTCCATTCTCATGGAACTATTAGGTTGTCCGGAAAGTTCTCAGCGTTTTGTGCACCTATTTTTTGTACATTCACTGCTGATTAAAAACTCATTCTGCCTTGCTTCTCAGTAGCACATCCTGTAGAGAATTTCTTGCGCTATCTGATGGTATAATTGCCGTTTCACCATTGCTTGATAAACCCCCTTTTTTCAAGATTTTTTCAAGCATGTGAAAAGAGCACTTCGGACGATTTTTTTCTTCGACTATAAATTGGGGCAATCCGCAATCGAAACAGCTCAACAAATTAACCAGGTGTGGCCCAATAGTGCTAGAGAAAGCACTGTGCGGCAATGGCTCAACAAATTTCGTTCTGGAGATTTCAGCCTTGAAGGTGAACCTCATAGCGGTCGACCTAAAGCAATATCTGACGAGGATTTTAGGGGGATTTTGGAGGCTGACCCATCCCAAACAGTTCGAGAGATAGCAGAAGAGCTAGGCCTTGGCAAATCCACTGTTGCAGATGGTCTGGAACGCATTGGAAGGTGAAAAACTCGACAATTGGGTGCCCCACAATCGGAGTGACCGGCAGGAATCGGCACGTCTCGAGGTTCCTTCTGCATTGCTTTTGCGCAGCAGAAACGACCTGTTTTTGGCCGAATTGTCACCTGTGATGAAAAATGGGTCATGTATGATAACAGGAGACGTTCCGGACAGTGGTTGGATTTCGACGAACCACCGAGGTAATTTTCAAAGCCGAACCCTCACGAAAAAAGATTCTGGTCACGGTTTGGTGGTCATCGGCTGGTGTGATCCACTATAACTTTTTATCACCAGGCCAAATAAAAGGAAGGTAATAAAATGTGTGTAACAACATGTTTGAATGAAAGTGATTCGTTTCGCCTCAACTCAGACGAATCACTTTGCTTGTCAACCCCTGACAAACCATCACAGCAGAACCCTACTGTGAAGAAATCGACGAAATGTACCGAAAATTTTGTCAGCTGCAGCCAACACTTATCAAAAGAAAGGGTCCGATTCCTTTTGCATGACAACGCCCGCCCACACGTTTCACAAATCACTATCCATAAATTGAACGAATTGGGGTTGAAGTTCTACCTCACCCGCCATATTCTCCAGACCTTTCACCAACCGACTATCACCTTTTCAAACATTTTCAGAACTTCCTTGCTGGAAAATACTTCATCAATCAGGACCAGGCAAAAAAGCCTTCGTGGATTTCGTTCTCGACCACCCAGTTTTTTACTTTGATGGGATTTCTCGACTGCTGTCACATTGGCAAAAGTGTGCTGATTCGAATGGTGCCTATTTCGATTAAATCCGATGAGTATTAAAAAAGTTACGATCGTTTAAAGTGAAACACCCAAAACGCTGAGAACTTTCCGGACAACCTAATACGATAACTATGATAAAAAGGAGAGGTGGACCTCGTTTTGGAGTAGACAAATTTTTTCATTTTCAAAATTTTTTCTTTCTCAAGGATGCGATAGGGACCAAAGGAGGTGGTAATTAGAGGCTGCTAACTTTGTTAAATAACCTGGGTACGGTCGCATTCTCTGATCGAAATCCATGATCTTTTGGCGTAGCCTGATCCCCACATGCGGTCTTCGCATTGCCGAGTAGTAGAGAAAAATTGAGTATTTCTGAATGAATTCAAGCGTGACGTCATCCATTTTGAAGTTGATTGAGGTGGACTGTGGTCCTTACAACGGTGCTAGTATCCAGTGATACCGCTTTGAAGTCCCACCAATAACACACTGAAATCTTTATCCCATGCACATCTGCTTTTGGCTAAGCAATCTACTTTTCTGTTCGAGAGATCCTGCGAGGACATGTGCATGATGTACGCAAGGACTCCACCACTCGCTATCAACCAGATCTCACAAATGGTCTTGCAGTGTGTGCAAGCAAACGACATTTCAGTCACGGTAATTCGGTATGACTTGTCAGACGGGCCAACTTCACAAAAAATTTTTCCGATAACCGAGATTGCGGAGAAGCATGGCAGTTGTCAGTCAGGTGGAGCCTAGAGAGGTTGCCAACTTACTGGTGGTTACGTTCGGCTGCGCCTCAAGAAGCTTGAGTAAAGGGCCGTCATTCTGTGCTGGTGGCGACCTATACATTGCCTACCTCCGAGTTAAATAAGTCCAGCTTGGAAGCGCTGATGCAAAAGCTACCCTCTGCCATGGCAAGCGATATCCTTCCTCAAGACAACGTAGGTGTTAGCTTCCTCGACTACGGCGGAGTGGCCCTACAGGAACTCATAATATGGGATAGGTCGAAAAGTACCTCGATCTCTGAGGGACTTTTAAGCTTTGAAAACTTCCACAAAGTCATGATATACCCATTTGCAGAAACCCCAGAGGACAGTCTCCACTAATCAGGGATAAAAACATCCAAAATGATTTTTGGTCTTTTTCTAGAACAATTCAATCAAAGTGTCGCAGGACTTTCCATCCAAATAACAATGAAAACATGGTAGGCTTAAAGATGGCGGTTCTATTTTAACGTGAGACCACACTGAATCAATGTTCCACAAAATAAAATAAACAAAGTGTTCCATATAATTAACATTCTAATGCATAGAACAAATGACATACAACCACAATGGCAAGAAACGTTGGAGCAAGCCAAAAATTCCGTTGTCCTTGTCATATTTTGAGGCATTCATTCAACATTGGACCAGTAATAATAACGCTCTTATGAATTGGTATAATAGTGTAATAATTATTTAATAGCTTATTGTGGTGATGCTTCACACCGTTCTGTGAGCCATTACAACACCACGTTAATCCTCCGTAGACGAAATGATGTTAACAGCTGTTTTCAGTGAGTCCCTCTAGACTTGTCAGTGGATGGGTCGAGCTTGATCGGGCTATCTTCACCTTACCCTTCCACTGGACTTTAGACTTTGTTATACTTCTAATATGTCTTTTTTTATTAGAGAAAAGCATTTGCTGATTTCTCTTAATATTTGGTGTTCATTGAAATTTACTACTTGTTTTTTTTGAGCTAGTTTCACAACCAAAAAGAAAATCTTATAAAACTACAAAAAATGGCATTTTTGGCTTAATTAGAAACAAAGAAAAACAAATATTGGGGAAAGGAACTCCAAAGCACAGATGATTCGTTTCGCCCGTTATCGCAGAGGAAAAAAAACCAACAACCCAAGTTTTTTTCCATTAGTACTGTAACATGCGGGGGTCGTAGGACTTGCACTAGTAGCTGAGTCGAAGAGTACTGCTCTTCGAAACACTGACTCTTTGAGGGGAACCACTAATCCGATCGACTCGTCGTGCATGTAGAATCCCCCAACTATGAACTGACATGATAGCCCCTGGGAGCTACAATGAGGAGATTATGGGGAATGGTCGCAGACTGTTCCTCCGCGAGAGAGCTTGTTCAGATCGATCGCGAGATGTCAGTGGTCCAACACTTCCCGGACCGTCTGAGTATAATATGACAAAAATGGGTATGATTATGCCCAATATTTGAAAAAAAGACAGAGTATAACTATAGCACATATATCTTGGAAAACGTATATTTGAGAACAGAAAATAGCCGCAATAATTCTGCCAACCAATCCAATGTTTGTCTGTTTATTCCGGTCTTAAAAACAGAGTTGAGGGGAAAGGGAGAGAGCGTGCATTGAGTGGAGATGCTCGTCAAGGCAACAGATCGATTCCGCTGAAATGCCACGGAACGTTGTTCAGGCATAGGTTCTCCATTCTCATTCTCTTACTGTCCTATTT